GTGAAATAATTCATTTCAGGCTGTCAGTCATGGGCAGACAAGATGTCTAGTTCAAGGCTGAAGCTATCAATCATATGAGGTGTCTCCCTCACCATACTGAGCCTCATCTGCTGATCTTAAATGACCTCATGTAGGACTAACACTGTACCCACTGGGGAATGCGCTAACGCCTGCTAGCAAAGTGTAATAACTAGTAAGCAACATTACACATTAACAGATATTTGACAGAATTAAAAGAATTCGCTCAATAATTTTTCATTACAACTGGCTGAATACGTATGTGTTGTAGGTCAAAGAGTTGGTTCATTTTGAATAGTAATGTGAATATAATTTTGGCAGAGGTTCACTACTTGTCACCCTACTGCCCACACTTTGGTACCGCTAGCATACATGCAACACATGGCACAACTTGTTCTTGATTTTATGCATTTTCTTCTGCCAGCTCAGAAAGCCTATCTTCCCTCTCCACACATGAGTTTAATTCAACATAGAAGCTAGCTTGATATGTGCTTGCTTTATTTAGAAAAAAAGTATAAATTGTATTTGGCACATGGATTGGAATCATTAAGATGCTTTGAACAAGTACTTTGAAAACTTCTTGTAAGTAGAACTGCATTTTGTGTTTCTACATGTATTGTCAAACTTCAACATTGATCCAATGCTGTATTGGTATTTAAATGTGGGTAACACTATTTGGATGGTTCACTTTTGATGCTTTGTAGATGCCCAGTATATCTTTAAGTAACATTGAACTAAATATCTATTAAATGCAACTGAACTTGAAGTTGAGTGTGGAAGATTTTCTTAAACCTATCCCTAACCCTAAACCTAACCCTAACCTCAAGCAAATCTACACCTACTCCTAAACCAAATCCTAAACATAATGTTGTTGATAATCAACTATCACCAGAAAGTTTATTAATGATTTAAGTATCTGTAGATCATCTATAGGGGACCATCCAAATAAAGGGTGACTTAAATGTGTTTTAAGAATGTTCTTTTACTGTTACTCTAAAAAACAAAGTGAATGTTACTCTATTAAAATTCTTTTGGATGAATCATCTCCTTATAATAGTCTCCCAAAAAATCAGTGGAGAAACATTCATGCTTCTCCTTTCCCTGTGAACTCTCAATTGTTTATGAAGTGTCAATTACATTTAGGATCAAACCAAAAGTGAGGTCTACCTTTTCAATAATGCAACACAAACTTTCATAGACTGTCAAGTTAAAAAGAATAAAAAACACAGTTTCTTTTGATGCAGTATATTGTCCAACTAAATTTGGATGATTTTATTATGCAGTTTTAACTCCATGTCCTATGCAGCCTAATAGTACTTAAGGCAATACTTTCTAACCCTCATGGTATCAAAACTGCCATCATTATTTCTCTGTATTCATACAAGGTTGTATCTGCATGGCTCATTAAATTCAACCAAGCGTTTCAGATGTCCAAAAGTATTCAGGCAGTCCTAATTATTGCATTCAGCTACTTTAAGGTGCATCCACTACTGACACAGACGTTCACAGCTTGTATAATCTCCATAGACAAGCACTGCCAAAGGATGGGACATTCTGGAGCAGCTGCACATGACTGTAAGGTCACCATGCCCAAGGCAAGTGTTGGCTAGGGCAGTATGAAGTCCCCCAGCATTGCACTGTGAAGCAGTGGAACTGCCTTCTCTGGAGTGATGGAGCACCATCCAATACTTTCTGGATGGAGTTGTAGTGACATTTGTGATCTAGAACCAATCATCCAGCATCAGCACCTGACCTCACTAATGCTCTTGTGGCAGAATGCAACCAAATCCTTATGTCAGTGTTCCAATATCTAGTGTAAAGCCTTCACAGAAGAGAGGCTGTTACTGCAGTGGAGATGAACTCTCTTTTAATACCCTTCATATCAGAAGAAACGTTGAATGAGCAGGTGACTACAAACTTTTGGACCTATAATGTATGTAACAGGTGTTCCTTTGTTTTATATATATTTGCTCTATGCTTTGTTCTATATATGTAAGTCATTGCCAACAAATGTACAACTTTCTTTCTTATGACCTTGACTTGAAATTCATGATGCACACAGTTTAATATTTCATGGTCCAGCCATAAATGATACTGTTCCTCTGAGCTTTATCGAACTTGATTTAATGAGTTAGTTTGTATACTGCCTCACATGATCGAACAACACATCAGCATACCACTGAATTGTTCTTTGTGCAGAACACAGCGTACCTCTTGACAATACCGTGGTTACATCTGCCATCTAACAACATTCATTATGTTCAGAGATTGAACTCTGAGTTATACCTCTTCCATTCTGCCATGGATGTCTTGGCAGCTTTATGAAGGACTGACTATAAAAAAAAAGAGAGTTTGAAGATCTACTAAAAACTGAAAGCATGCAACTGGGGAGATTTCAGATGGTGAAAGGAAGCATAAAATATTGACAATGCTGGAATACTTCAGTGCTGTACCTGGCCTTTGAATGAAACCTCTGATTTGTGGATCATTTGGGACAACTCTGAACATATTTAACAAGTGAACACAACAGAATGCGGCAGCAGCAAGCAGCTTTGGACCGTACTTTCTGGATGCGAGATGGGCCATGGTTTTAAAAGGGTAATTAATGTAGCATCTTTAAAATATAATTAGGAGAGCTTTTCTGGGTTAATATTCTTCATTAAGACAACAGAATCTAAACCACAACAAATCTAAACATATTAAGGCGAGTACTGCATTGACAAACCGGTCTAGAAGTACGACGCTGATCACGAGAGATAATTGTAGTGCAATCAGCCCAGATAATTGTCATTATCCGTACATCTTGATGTGTGATTACTTGGAAAACTGCTTAAGTGCATGAAAGAACTTAATTAGCTATTATCTCTCTGGTCTCAAAAGTGCAAGTCCAGAGCTTGCTCGTCTTGCATTAGTTGAGGTTGTGTTGTGAAATTTTGCAGATGCACACACATTTGTTTCATTACACAGAGCCCTAAGGTCATTAAGAGAGAAGGAGAGTATGTTTAGCATATGTCTACTCAAGCAACGGCTGTGTGCTGCTTCTGCTGCATTTCATCTGGTCTAGGGTTTGCTGAGCCCTTGGCACTGCCATTATAATGCATCTGTGTTCTTTTCCTCATACACAGGGCAAAGTGCAGCAATAGAAGAATGTATTGAACTTCAGCCAGCTTTAAAAAGAAAAAAGCACCATATCCAACAGATACTGGGAAAGTGATGCAGTGCTTATATCTTAACATCCATCGTTGCATCTGGTCTTGCCCTTGTTTGCTTTTAATTCTTGCTGAAATAAGTAAAAGGACTCAAAACTATATTAAAGATGGGTGGAGTGGAAAGCTAAATTTCATGGAAATGAAGTGCATATGCTACATGACCGCAGCCATTCATGGGAGTTATGTCTATATTTTATCATAAATGATTCCATTCTCCTTCTTTGACATTAATTTAGTGCAGAGACCCCAGAGCCTCATGCATTATGCAAAATAATCACAGGGGCACCTTTTAGAAGAAGTCAATTTTACTGAGCATGAGGAATGACAGGGTGTTCTGAAAGGAGTGTATTGTACAGAGGAAATGATCAGAAGTGGTCCATCAAGAACATTCAGCTCAGGTTTGTTGGCTCCATGAGTAGAAATGGATTTGAATGTTGGTTCAGTTGTGAGCAAGTTGGTATCATAATTTGAATTTTGTCATTTAGAGGTCTTAAAATCACATGTAACTCATGTTCTATGGAAGTACTTGATGTACTTGTTTCAACTAAAATTCTATCAGATATGGTATGGCATGATATGGTACATCCATGAAGTAAAACAATTAGATTTAGCCTTTTGAATACCAAAGAGTCCTTTTTTCCACACCTGCACAACAGAGGCTAATAGCAGCGTGTTGAACTCCCAGTGGAATGCTGGGAATCAGGATTGCAATTGGAAATTCATTAGATCACAATTAGGTTAATTGTATTTGTACAGAGTGGGCAGCTATTGGAGGCCTGGTTTAAATGAGCGGCATTTTATAGCATGCAACCTGATGGTAAGTTCCATGGAGCTAATGGAGATAAAGTACACCACTTAAGAGGAAGTGGGAGAGAATAAGACTTGGGAATTTTTTTGTACTTCTTGCTGTATATGATGTAGCCTTTTAGGTGCCTAACTTTTATACAAATACTGTTAGCTGTACTTGCTCTATTGTCAATTCTCTTTCTTGCACAGCCTTCAAAAGTTGACCACAGCATAAAGCTCTCTGCCAGTCATTTCACAAAAGCTCCTCCCCCCCTCCCTTTACCTTTTCAGCTCTTGTTTTAAAACACAAAGAATCTGATAGCACTGCATTTGAAAGGTGTCCATTTTATTCCCTTGCACTAAAAACCACTGTAGCCTGGTTCAAGCCTGGAGTCAGCAAGTCTTCCCTGGGCAGGAATCCATGTGGCATTCATTTCAGTATCCACTAAAATCAATGTCGGGTTTATAGCTTAGTCAAGTTTGGGATTTTTGGGCTCAAGTGAAGACGAACAATGAACCTATTATTTTTTTATTTATTGTATTTTCTATACAGTTCCCCTGAGATCAAAGACATTTAAACCTACAGCTTTCTAGTCAGCATCTATGGTGCCCAGCTAAAGATAAAAACAGGAGCCAGGAACTCTTCCATATCTTGTACTTATTCAGCTTATTGTCTGAAGATTTTAAACTACTTAACCTATAGAAAATGGCTTGTAAGGTACCATCTGTCCTTGTGACTGTTTTAATGAAATAGTAACATTCGCTTTAGCTGTCAAGTAAGAAATGCCTCGTAAAAAGTGCATTCCTCTCCTTTGAACAACAAAAAATATAATAAGTTATAGAGTCTTTGAAATATTTACAGGCTGAGTTGGCTTGCAAGTGAGAATTCCAGGCTGTGGTTATCCAAGATAAAGTGGGCTGAACTTTTAAAATGATGAAAACCTGAAGGCAGTCTTTCATGTTTTTGATGCTTCTCTTGAATTCTAGATGGAGCTGATACCAGAGCCTGACCCTGATGATGAAGGAACTAAAATAAGTGTAAGTATGCTCAAAGCTTTTCAGACCTTTTACCCCCAATCATCTTACAGTGCAAATTAATGACATGGAAGGTTGTGTGTAGATGTGTCTGGACATCGTTGGAAGGAAAAAAAGGATTAAATTTCCTTACAGAAGACTTTATTCTCATCTGTCCAATGCAAGCTTGATGTTCTGTAGTGTTTACCACCTTCAGGCAGCCAGCTTTTTACACTAAAGTCACAGACTGGCTGCCTCAATATTACAAGTCCAATAGCTATTTTCTCACGTCCATGTAAAATGAAAGGCCAAAACATTGAGAGTGAGTGACAGACTGAACGTTACTTAAACTTTGTCCTCCATTTCCTCCACAGACAGTCAAGGTCCAAGGCAATGACATTTCCCACAAACTACAAATCTCACGCGTGAGCAAGAGTGACGAGGGGCTGTACGAGTGCCGAGTCACCGATGCCAACTACGGAGAACTGAAGGAGTACAAAGCGCAGGCCTATCTGAAGGTCAACGCCACAGCCCGCAGAGGACTCATCAAGAAGACGTCGCCCCTGCACCTGACGGATAAGAAACCCCGTAAGAGCAGCTCAGCTTTGGGCCAAGACAGCAACGGCATGAGTTCAGACCAGCGCTCCCAGTCCACCTCTACCTCCCAATCTTCACAGTCAAAAACAGTCAAACACAGCGCAGGGTCAGGTAAGAGTGGCTTGCACTGCTGCTTTTCAGCTTGGGTTTGTGTGTTGGTGTGTATGTTGTTAGATTGGCATTTGTATCTGTTTCACTTCTGCAGATATTATTGATCTTTGAATCCATAGGGCACACTGTCACAGAAAACATGAAGTTTAGATAGTATTTTACTTTTATTTTATTTTTTTTATTTTGTACTGAAGGGCTTTAAAAGCTGATACAGAGAATATCATTTCTTGATAGCATTGTGCACAGTCACAAGTGTAGTGATAAATCCCCATATTTACTTCTGTCCTGCACTGCAAAAATTGGTATGTTGTCAAGTAAAATTGTCTTAAATCTAGTTAATAAATCTAATATCTCTTCTGTTGAGATTGTAGTAATCTTATTTTAAGATTATTAAACTTATTTTCAAACATTGTAGTTGTTTTAAATGATTTTATTAAGTACATTTATCTCACAATATTGGCAGATAATTTTGCTTGTTTTAAGAAATGTGCTTGAAAGAAGCAAAATTATTTGCTAATATAGTGAGATAATTGTACTTGATAAAATTACTATTAAGTAAAAAATGTTGGAAAAAAGCTAGATAATCTTATAAGTGCACAGCTCTCTCAAAGTAGGAAATATTAGATCACTATTTTAAATATTAGATCACTATATTAGACACTTCATCATGGAAAACTGAATGCTCCTGATATTTTTTAAACCAAAAGGTTTCATGTATATAAACATTGTTAAAGTTTCAAAACGTAGCATTCCATCTCTAGTCCAGTTTCCAGCAAGAAAGCAAAGCTGCAAAACCAGCCCATTTTGAATTCACTGTTTTTGTCAACAAAAAAACTATAAATTTCCATACACCTGCCTATTTAGCCTACAGCAGTTTAGCCCTGCCCACTCATGCTGAAGTTACAAAGGGTGTTTCTTCCCAAATAGCTTTTTGAATGAGGCACAATACAGGACAGCCAATCAGAACAAAGCATATTTACATATATACATGTATTACAGTATACGTAACAAAATTTGCTTGTGTAATGACAAGGGATGACGAGAGGTTGGAAAATGTTCATGAAAAATGAATTTGTTTCATAGAATGGCATAAATGTTATAAGTGGGTCTTGGGGGAAAAATTAAACGCAAGCAAAAATGTAGGATATGGTCCCAGTAGAACAATTCCAGTCATGTTGATGAAGCTCTCATACAGTTATTACTTTGTAAAATATATAGTAAGTTTAGTTTACAAATAATGCATTAAAAGAAAGACTGTTTCAGGCATTTTTATGGATTTTTCTCCACTGGTCTTTATGTAGTTCATACAGAGCTCGAGTGAGTAAGTGAACTTCGGACAGGAGTAAACTCAGAACTAGTGATTTCACCATGAAAACTCTCAACTGGAGCTACCATGACAGACTGCATTAGTTACAAGATTTAGAAGTCAAATTCTGAAAGTAACTTTTGAAATTTAATAGGTTTTGTAATAAGCTTTATATGAACTGCAGCAGAACTCATAATGGAATTTATAGGAGTGCCTGTAAAGGACTTTACAGGGCCATTTCTGCTGCCAGTAAAAGCCATAACTCTGCTCATCAATTCAATAAAGGCAGCATTGCGTAAGGCTTATAATGCTGCTCTAAATAGTAAATCTATTACAATCTTTTAGAAACTTGTTTGCCTCAACATTTGGATTCCCAAAAGAAGGCCATAATGTAAAAGTGAGTTGCTGGAGGCCTGTTTTATTAGGCAAGTTTTGACAGTCTTTAAAAAAATAATGACTGGATAAACCTTACGGTGCATTAGGATGTGATTAGAGGAGAGCTGTCAGAGTAAATGTCCTCAAATGAACCCTAAGAACATACAAAAGCAACGTCTTGATCCATATTCGAACCGACGAAGCGTTTTAGATTGAAATGTTATGTGTTTCAGCGGTATGTGTCAGTAGGCGGCTATAAGCGGTGGAGTCGAGGTGATTTGTATGTTCCCAGGGACAGCTGGGCATTTCGAACTCTACTCTGACATGGGCAGAAGTTCTGCATCGACAGAATAGCTGATAGCCCATTCGGTCCCATGGGGGAATGGCAGACGAGCCCTGTGCTGTCTCACACATACATACTCTCTCAAACACAGAGAAAGAGAGACTAGAGAGAGACAAACAGAAAGACAGACAGACAGATGGCTGTATAGAATACATTTCGACAGGCCTGTGCATTCAAAACAATACTTGAAAGCATACACTATTTATATGGATAAATTAAACATGACGACAATAATGAAACTAACACAAACGGAGATGGCATTCATAATTACCACTCACTTTTGTTTCTTGAGTTGAAGTACCTTAAGCACTCTTACCTAACCACAACTCGATGAAAAAAGCCATCTGCAAGATCAGTGAGCTCTAATTACGGATCATGACATTCTGACACAACTCCCACCACTCCTTATAGCTAATTGGACAGAGCTGGTTATAAATGTATAGATGCAATGTGTAATCGAGGGGCTCTGAGAGCATTTCAGCCCTGCGTAAAAACAGCTCGCAGGAATGATTAATTATTCTCCACAAAGAGGACGAGGAGGAGGAGGAGACGCAGGGAAGCTTGAGCTCGGTGCGATTGCTTCTCCTCCATGATGCTCCTGTTCACTTGATCACTGCGGGCTAAATGAAATCTGGCAGGGAGGAGCAGAGGGTCGTGAGCCTCCATCTCTCGCTCTCTCTCTTTTTTTCCTTCTTCCTCTCCTCCTCTCTTTCCTGATATTGAACTTGGCTGAGAGAGAGACTCCCCAGACACCCTTCCTCTCAAAGAACCGCCGCGCTTGGTCTGAAGGAAGAATCCCGTAAATGTCACAGTGATTTACTGAAAATTTCATTTTCCATTTCCTCAATGTTGCCTTGTTATTAGGGGTTTTATGGCTAAATATACAGCCTTCTCACTCTCCCTCTCCCTCTCCCTCTCTTCTCTACCTCTCACTTTCTCTTCAATAGTTTTTTTGTTTTGTTTTTTTTACAGGTACGTAACTTGTTTGTGAGATCTGCTTTGATGTTTTTAGGCCACCTATTTTAATTCCACTGTTCAAAACAAGAGCGGAAAATGCGAGTAAATAATTGCAAAAACAAAGATCAAAAATTAGAGTGCCCATTGCCCAAAGAGAACTCGGCCTCATTCTTAGTCAACAAGCTTTCTACCTTAATAAATGCATGAATTTAATTGCCTATACTTCACGCAATGATTCTTCCAATGCAAATTCATGGCTGGTTGCTCCAGTTTATGAGTCCCATTAAAAAAATCTATTAATTCACTCCCTCCTATGTAAAAATTTCATGATCATTCATAAATCATCTCCTTACGTAATGTGTTGAAAAAACAGTGCGAACATGCTTCCCTAGAACAATTACTCATTCGACAAATCTAAATACGTTCCCCCAGTTTTCCCGCTAAGCCCTCCTGCCGCCATGCATGCAGGGATGTAATGTGGTGGCAGCTCTTGCGCATTCAGTTAACACCCTTGGAAAGTATGCAAGCTCAAAATTGAGGCACTGAGAAAATGTAGGTTGTGTTGCACAACGTGACAGCTAAACTACAACGCAGACAATACATAAAAATGAATGCAAAACACAGAACTGTAATTTTCTCTTGGTAAGTAAGAGGAATTGGCTTGGCTTAGCTGACATAAAATGAAAGGGTGTCCCATTCACTAACCTGCTTCATGACACGAGTGTCAGTTCCTTTTACGAAACAGGAATGACAATTTAAATGGAGATTGCGCAGAAGATTGTGTCTTCACAGTTGTCATAAAGTAAGGTTAGAGCTTAAAAAAAAAAAAAATCTTAAAAATGAACCACAAGTTATTCAGCATGATGTGCTGACGAGGTCAGATAAAGCCCTTCCACTACAGCACTATCAGCACGGCTAGATGCTCGGATAGATGAGATCCTAACCCATGTGCTTACTGGCAGGTTTTTCAGCAGCCGCTTTCTCTGCATGTAGGATGTAGTGAATGGATTCAGAAATCGTTTAGGTAAAGACAGCATCTTGACAGGTCAGGTCAGTGGTAGGGATTTACATAAATCCCTATTCGTGTCAGTTTAATGGCAGTTTGATTTTTGCATTGCAAGGCCTCCTGAGAACAGTGAAAGGCTTTTACATTTATTTGAGGTGCGCTCTTCTTTTTTCTTTTTCTTACCCTGCAAACAGAAGTGTCAGGAATTTATTTTGCTTCATGATTATCCATGATAGTCTGGCCAAATCACATGTTTTGTTGATTTTCAAGGTGAAAATAAGTGCACATCCTCTTCATTGAACACACTTCTGCACATCGTAATGCACAATTACTGTTTATTTGCTGCTTTAGCCCCTTAAATGTCCAGGGCTCTCCTTATTACACAATTCTATAATCTAAGAATAGCTCAGCCAGTTTGCAATGAAATCTCTGTAGTTACTGAATAATAAGCCTTGGTATGTAATAAACCTGGGATGTTAAGTGGTTAAACATATTGGGAAAAATAAAACATAAATCGTGTCCTGTGCAAAGGTTACAGCACATTTTATACTTTGTTTTATTTTTATTCTGAGCAAATAAATAGAAATTGTGCACTAAAATAAGCAGATTGAAGCAAAATGTCATATTTAAGTTTGTTCTCTGTAGAGGACAAAATCAACTAACGTGATTTGACCAGGGGCATTCAAACTTTTGCATATAACTGTACAGTATCTCTCTACAATCTGAAAAAGAAAGGTGTCACACAGCGTTCTTTGAAGCGCTGCCGAAGAGGAGCCACTTTCAGAACCCTAAATCCCTTCAATGGATAGTTCTTTGGAAAAACATTTCTGTAAAGGCAGTGTCTAAAGCCTGATTTACAAAAGCTTTTAAAACTTCACAACATGCGCAAAAACATTTGCAAGTGGATCCACTAACAGGGTCTGAAGATTGCGTCTCTCAAATGAGCAAAACAGCACATGCTGTCCATTGTGCCTTAATGAATTACACACTAATTTAGCACCCCCAAGTGTGAATTAATAAATCTGAAAGTCATTTTGAGAGCAGCAAATGTGTGTATTTAAACTGGCTGCTTTCAAGGTACTTTTTATGTATGTCTAACCTAATATTTGTTCTGTTTCCTCATTTTGTACAAAATATGAATAAAAATGAAACGTAGTTTGTATAATGCTTCACACAGTCATCAAACTTGCTTGCTTATTATTATAATAACAATAATAATAATTAAAAAAAAGATATCTGATGCATGGAGTTGAGTGGAAGTCAGGCTTGAATAAATCAATGTGCCAAATGTATGGAAATGGAAACCTTTAATGAATTAGAATCACTAATCTATTAGAAAGTAGCCTGTAGGCTGAGAATGCAAGAAAACACCCTGGACCAGGGAGACAATATTTGTCCCCTGACCCACCAAATCTTTTATAGTTTTATTATATGCTTTTTTCCTTTTATTCTTCATGTGTTGTATGTTTTATTCCTCTTATGTCCAACTCCCTCTCTTTTTCATTGCACAGCAGCATTGACTGCTTTTTTTCCCTTTGGCTATATCTATTTTTTATACTTATATTTAATACTTAACAATGCAAAAAATATGAATATACATTAAAGATACTTACGTTTAATACTTAACAATGCAAAAAAACATGTATGCATTCAAATTGTTCTTTGAGTGTTCACGGTTCCACTTACAACCATCGCCTTTACTAAAGAAACCTTGAAGAATCACGAGCAGTGCATGTGAAGATTCTTTAAACCTTTAAAAAGGATCTTCATACTCACAAATTCCTTTTTCAGGCATGTTTCTATAGGAGACCAACAGTGGTTCTTCAGTAGCATCACTCAAAGAAGCCTCTGTGGCACCTTGAGTGCATACCATAAGTCAGATATGTATGAGTATTGAACTCTCTCCGGGGTTCCGTAAGATGTTTATTTATTGTGTTAAATTTATTGCGGTAGCTGTAACAAGACCTAAAACTGGCAAAAATCCATGTTGTCTATGATAAGCGATGACTGCTAGCTTGCATGTAATTGATACCCATGATTCATTGTTTGCTGTTTGCCTCTGTCAGCTTTAAGATATTGATGCAGCTGTAATTTCTTCCCCAGGTACCAGGATAGCTACGAGCTATGGACTTGCTATCCTGCTTTTTGCTAGTGGCTGCGTGAGGGGAGCTTTGCTATAGTGGGTGACTCTTTTTTTTCCAGTTCTACTGTTCTTTAAGCAAACAGAAGAAAAAAAAATATCACTTGCTCTTTCCATGGAGTGGATGGCACAGTTGTCCCTTACATGAAACCAATATTTGCACCCAAAATGTTATTATTCTCTTCACCAGAATCACTCTTTTTCAAAAGCCTTGGAGGATAAGACTTAAGTCTTCTTGGACATGTGCTTCGTGCTCCAGATGATAAAAACACAACATGGACGCAAAGAATTATGGGCTACCTTTCACCCATATACTATTATCAATTTTGTTGTATTTTTTTCTGTTTATATCTAGCTGTGAATTTAATATGACATGCTCTAAAGTTCGGGAAGAATTTATATTTGTGTAATATATAAATATATACATACAGATGCATATATAAGGATTTGATTTTAAACCTTCTTGGACTCTGTACAGCTTGCATTCATTCTGGAATACTATGTGTGCAAGGACACTGAAGAAAACATGAACATAACAGCACTGGCATTTAAGTAAATATTGTGGCTGGATAAGTAATGGAGTTCTGCTTAACTGTGTGATGTTCTAAGCTGTTTAATCTGCTTTGAGGTTTCCTGACTTTATTTGATGCAGATTGTCCTTCTTGCTAAAATGCACATGCCATTCTTTGTTGTTGTAGGGTTTTTTGATTTGATTTGTTTTTTAGTTTTGCATAATAAATGTGAGCTTATTTCTGTTATCACTCTGTTAGTGTTGTTGTGTATTCGAGGACAACAAAACTGTTTCCACACGTCATGTGCCATAACCGTGCCTACTTAGCATGTCTAAGAAACAAAGCCAGGACATGTACTAATTAGCCTACTGAGGACTAAATTGCACACAGCAATGCCATTTAAGGACTCAATAAATACCGACCTCCTCCTTCATTCCATGAGAGGTGATTTGTTCAGCCAGGAGAGAAGATGTAATAGGAAATGCTCAAGTCAGCTTTTGTTGCCCTCTAAATCTCTAACAATCATACCAGACTGGAGACTCTTAAGCACACTGAGAATTGTTATTTTCTCTTATTTCCACCATCTTCAGTGTGGTTTGGTGCTTCTGTTTGATCTTCTGAGCATATCCTCATTTCCACAAAATCTTGACAATGTGACCTCCTGCTTCAAAACCCATTACATTTGATCATTGAATTTTCACTGTCTAGCTATTTTTTTTTTCCCTTTCTCTGTTGGATTTATTATTTGCACCCCTTGCACACTATGTATCTGTCACTGAAGCACCAGAGCCAGTATTTAAAAACCAAAAAGATACCAAAAACACTGAAAAGAACAGTCAATCACTAACAGTAATGTCAAAATAAGTCAAGATTGTAACTCTGTCTCTTAGATATTTTGCCTGCACAATGCTTTTCTCCCATTTTTATCATTTGGGCACACTGTAGCGGGGGGGCGGATTTTGCAACTGGCAGTGGCAACAATATAGTACCTCAGCAGTCAACTGAACGTTTCACTAAGAGTTCAGTTTTTCAACTTTGTCTGTCCACCACAGGGGTGGAATAAATCAGATGTTGTTGTTTTTTTTTTTTTGATGCCATGGATGTTGAATGTCTGAATTCCAGGCGCACCTAGAATGATACAACAAAACAACTGACACTGCTACAGCTCTTCGCTTATAATCGTCCATTTTTGCTGGTGAGGCTGACACCACGGCCACATATGGCATCATGCTGTGAGGCAGGTAATAATAGGATCATTCACCAATATATTCCTAAGGTTTTTTTAAATTTGTTCTTAGGAAAGGTCCTAAGAAAAGTCTACATCAGATTCATGATGTGTTCTTAAACCACAGAATTGTTGGCATCTTTGTGCCCTTGACAGTGTTTAGACACTGTTCTTACCTAAGAACAAATCCCAAATAAGAAAACGTTGGTGAATCTTCATGAAAACTGTGTGTGTTTTATGAAGAAATGTCATCTTAAGAGCGGTTGGTGAATGATGCCCAAAGTTCTTACTCTAAGATGAATGAGAGAAACAGGGATTTATGCCAGCACATCTATACTCTTAAATAGTAATATAACTCACTGTTTATTGCAGTTAGATAGCATGATGCCATAATTCCCATTTTGACAGTAAAGCTAGTATTTTTTGGCTGACTTGAGAAAAACACAACACTACACTTCCTCTTAAATATGATTACTGCCTGTCTTCTTAAGGCTGTCTGTCATACATGCTGGTAATTAAATAAGTTTAATTCACATTCATGTTGCCCTTTTTTCCACTTGAGCCTCCTCCCTCCAAAATGTCCATGCATGGGCCTGAAAGGTATTGTAGTGTTAAAACCATCTTATTTCAATCTAATGTAATCTACTCTCTGAAAAACAATGGTCTGAGTTTTGTTTCTTGGTTTGGATGTATGATTACAGAAAAAAACTTCAGTTAGTATAGAAACTACATTATGTTGGAAGTTCTACTGTAGGGTTTTTGGTTTTCTCTCCCTGATGGCCTGACCCATTGATGATTTACCAGGACCAGTAAAGGGTAAATGTGTGAGAAAATATTTTGACCCCAAAAAGATAAAATTTCAATAATGTTCGAAATGTTTGATCATTTCAATCCTGATCATTTCAAACCTGTTGGTTAGGATAAATTCTATTGTGTGGCTCAAAACAGGTTAACCATATTTAGTATTTAGCCAAGAAGGAAACACTCAATTACAAGATAAGAAAGGGTTCCTCCTCTAACGCCCCAAAACTTTGCTTTTAGAACCCCTTTGCAGGTGAAACTGAACTAACCAAATGGATCAATGTATTCTAATTTTATGACAGGCCATGTGAGAAGGTGCATAGAAAAATAGTAGGAATCACACAGAAACAATGGTTCATGGCTCTTAGAGAACATTGTGGTGTGAGAATCTGTAAATGCCATTCAATAGACCCAAATGTTTACACTTCTGTCCTATTTCCTAATTACATTCCACATGAATCAGTGCATAATATGCTTCACAAATCCAAACAGGTCATAAAAATATGCAATTAATATAATAATCTCTCCCCGAGGGAATTGAAGTAGGACTTGGTCCATGATTCCCTTAGTCTCATCCCCAGCTACGCACATCTGGGAGATAAGGGAGGTCCAAAAGGGAACCTTTTGTTCATTGTCAATTTAATCACTGCCACCTGTAGTTTTATGGTGGGGTCATCCATTCCAAAGAAGTTTTGATCACTGATCACTACATTTTAAACTTTACAAATCACAATCAATCTCATTTAAAAAAAATGGTTCTGTAAAGAACCACTGAATCACAAACCCATTTAGGAACCAAACATGGTGCTTATCTGGCATCGCTCCAAAGAACCCTTTTCGGAACCTTTCTTTTTAAGAGTTTACAGTTAAACATGATGCTATGTTGCACATCAAGGGTATTTCCGCCAATACATGTGAAGAAAGTTTAGGGGAATCTTCTCCGCTGCAGTATGGAAGAGTTCATGAGGAGGCTGCATTTGTAGTATGCAATCACAAATTAACTAGTCGTAAACAAATCATTAAGACCAGCTGACGCCTCTGAATAAACTTCATAAACACATCTGAGCACAACCTTTCGACCAGCCATCATTATGCAGTATAGTCTTTTCGTGCAGTGAGAGAGTCTTTCATCTGATGAGGAGGCAGGGTTCTGTCTATCCATGGTTTCAGGTTAGATATCAGCAGCACTTTGTTATGTTTATTATGTACCCCGTAAATAAACACAAAATACACAATAAAATGGTCCATAACCACTGTGTATTGAGTGTGTTACATTATTCTACTCTAACCCAATTGAATTCAGTTTTATAATGAACCAATAGCTCACTCATAAACATCCAGAGTCTCTGTCAAATGCATAGAAGAAGACCTGAACACCTAGATCTCTGCACCGTCTGCCTAAAAGTCACTGTAAAATAAGTAACCAGCATGATTTTTTTTCCCCCTTCCAAAACACAAAAGTGTGTTTGCTCCTCTGTTGTCAATGATTTATGGATATGTTTCCTGCAGAGACTTCACATCTTCTCCATAATCTCTGGGATTTCATGTTTTGGCGACAGCCTGCTATACTGTTTTCTCATAGGAAAATGCACAGCAGCAGCTGAGTCCTGGAAAATTCCTTGTATTGTACAACTGGAGAGCTTGCTGGATTTATGGATATACCAGTTTGGATCATCATCAGCCTGAGACAAACTACAGAATAAAAGTCTTCATGAGAAACATCTTGCAATCTCATGGATATTCTTGTTTTCTCCAAAAAAAAGAAAAAGAAATGAAGATTTAAATGTAATCCTTCCGCAGATCCTCTATTGACTTGGGAATTCTTTGCTGAGAGTCATAACTGACTGCCTGCTGAACTGTGATGATTCCATGGTTTTCATTGACACTTTGTAGAGCAATGTTGCGGTTTGTACTACTAGCGTCAATAAAAGAATAATCTGTAGTTAATCATCTTTCCTGGCTGGTACTGGATCTATACGACATTTGGAACACGTGTATATTCATTTCTGATATTGGAATGTATGACTTGCAGTCTTTGCTTCAGCCATTCTAAATATTAAAAAGATTCTGCCAAGAAAAAGACGTTCATCAACTGACATTTGAAAAGTATTTCTGTATAAAGTTGCCCAGAATACATCTCTGTGAATTCAGAACCATGTAAAATGTAATTAAATTGCTTTAACGTTGTTCAAACACTTACACTTACCCATCCCAAAGGGTTTTAGGCTGCAATCGGATTTGTCTCCTGTTTTGGATGAGATGTCAGCCAAAAGAATATAACAAACAAAACAAAATGTTTATTACTCAATGTCACCTGTAATACTGAGGGCATTGTAACAAAAATGAAAAAGTAGCTCTTTTTCTGACTCTAATTTTAGTCATATATTATATTTCAATGAGTTTCTAGAAGTTCTCAGTCTTTAGGCTTCAAATTCCTGAATAAATATTCATCAAAGCCAGAGTGATATGATCAAATATTGTTCTCATCTTGTCCGTAAGGACTCCACTTGACATTTATACATGCAGAGAGAATGTGGTAATCAGTTTCGGCTGTTATTAATAACTTCACCTGGTGTATTCTAAAGAGCTCATGTCATGTTATCAGACTACAGTATCTGATTATGTGGGTGAAGAGGTGGAGCTGGCAGGATCTGGAGTATTATCACAACACAGAAATACATTCACCTGTTGATATTTTCCTCCTATATGTTTGACAACTGATACTACAATGTACAGACTGTAGGTGACATTACTGCTATTATGTTAATGACTATTTAAATGAACACTGAGTCCAGACCTTTGTAAGTCATTTTAAGGCAAACATGTACAGGCTTTCAGTTTCCGAGGTAACCAATGACCCATGACTGTAATTTCCATCTTACCAATTTGAAATCCAATACAGAATCAACTTGCCTTTTTTACACTTGTCTGACTGCTCACAGCAAAACCTGAATGACTAATGTACATGTGTCAACATAAATAAAATGTGTCCAAAGATGTTTCCAGTTGACCATAAGATGCATATGCCTCTGTCTGCCAAAGAAATCAGAAATTGCACAACATTAAAAAAGAAAACTCTCCATCAGACAGAACACACGGCGGAAGAAGCAGCCTCCATTCAATCAACATCTCAGTCAATTTTCCACTTTTGATACTGTTCATTTGAGAGAGATCTTGGCATGCAGAGGAAGTTCAGTGAACAATTTCTGGATCAGGAAAA